CTTATCCTGAAAGATAGCAACCTATATATCAACAATTGCGTGTTAAATTAACTAAGAGTTAAAATTTAAATTCTGCACCTGGGGTGAAACAATATGCCACATGCAGGCAGATTTACTCCTAGATCTGTGTCCAAACTGCAACAAGATAAAATGTTGTCCTGAAGACTGATTTAATGCAATCTGCTCCCAAGCAAATAAAGGAGTCAGAAGATTTCTGGCATACAGAAAACTAGGCTTGCAATATATTACTAATTAAGAAATCAAACATTTCTGTACTGCTTACCACTTCTTTCTTTCTTCTCTAGGTCATTCAAAAATTCTAGGTAATTCAGAAATTTTACATGAGCTTCCAAGAGATTGTAAAGATATCCAGCACTAACTTTAAGAGCAAATTTTAAAACCTTTTCACAGTTTATCAATAAGAAGTATGTGCTGGACAATGTATTATTTATGCTACATACAAAATATCTTAATTTTAAGTATTTATATATATGTAGATATGTACATCTGTCTATATATATTTACATACACAGGGGCTGACATTAAACTCTAATTTATTATTATGGATTCAATTCCACTAACTATTAATTGTTTATTTCAGTTTTTCTTTAATGGCTATTTTAATCTTAACACAAGTTTACACATAGTCAATACAAAGAAGAACCTTCATACATTCCAATAAAATTTATGAAATAAAACTGAAACCAAAACAAAAACAAAAAACCCGAAGAGGAATTTATTTAATTAAACCAAATAGTATTTTTCATAATGCTATTCATACATGAGGAATATGCAAATTAACAAATCCGTTCCTCTCCTTCACTGTATCCAGAATCTTTTAAGCTTGCTTCTTGTTTTGTTTTGCACTTCAGAGCTCAAAGGACAAGACAGAAAATGTTTTGCACTAATCACAGTTTATAGCAGCACTAGCTAGAATAAAACTTCTGTAAACACTGCCTCATGGTTTATGCCCTCAATATCACAATCATTACAGACCTTTGAAGAATCAGGTTTCAAAAGAGCAATCTTTACAAATGAGACACAGAGATAAGCAGGAGTAACACATGATTAGTTTCGTATCTTTACCTAGAAACGGACTATGACTTTTAATATATGATGCACAAAATAGAAGCTGAGGTTCTGATCCTGCAAATGTCGGAGGAATTTTGCAGGGGTACCGCTCCAATGCAATGTTAAATGCATACAGGATACACTTAACCTGACTGTAACCGTTGTCAGGTTAACAAGGGCTGAGGTAGCAAGCCCAAATTAAACAGGATTATCATAGGCTAATTTTTTCCTGGAAGTTGATAAAATCTTATGCTATAAGTTTCGCGTAACAAAGGGCAATATGCGGTCTTGCTTCTCTCTGTTATCTGCAAATGGATTGTAGCTTATGCTTCTCACTGGAAATTTCTACTAGCAGTTTTCAGCAATGATTCTTGATCATCATCTGCAGTAATTCTCTGTCAGCAGTCAGTGCCCAAAATTTGATACTGAACTGTCCTGACTGCTAAGTTGCACAGCAAGTTTCTCTCCAAAAGACTGACTAATCACTCATGAACCCGAGTAAACTCCTGACATACACACAGTGGCTGTGAGCACCACAATTTATGTATTGCAGGACAAACATCTTTTTTTTCAAAGTTGCCTCCCAATTGTTTTATTTGCATCTCATTTATCTTGCCTCTTCACTTTCTTCATGACACTAATGATTTTAAAGAATATCCCCACGGTCCCTCAAGTCACTTCTTTTCCAAGTTACTTACTCTTTCACAAAAGCTCCTTCCTACCCTTCATCATCTTTGACATCCTCCTCTGTAGCTCAGCAAATTTCACTACTTCCTGAATCAGGAGAGAGGAGCAATATGGATTTGTAGTGGCATGATAGTGCTCTCTATTTCTTTTTTTAACTCCTTCCTAATAATTCCTAACCTGTCCTGTCCTTTATTAGCCACTTCTTGGCACAGAGTTTATCTTTTCATTGGATTATACAAGTTTTATGATTCTTTTCCTGAGTAGAAAATCAGTTCATGCCTCATTTTTGTGTGCAAAAAATTAGGATTGCAATCCCTTCCATCAATATTACACTGAAATTGGTCTGTACTGAACTTCATTTGCAAACTTACCTCCACACTTTCAAAATAAGATTTTTCTGCAGACTTTGTGGTTTGGCCTTTGGGATTTTCATGCTCCAAATGAGTTAATACAACCAGCAAACTTGTCACATTCCCACCTATCCCTTCCTCCATCCCTTGAATGGCATAGGCCCTGGCCAGACTGAGGAGTACAACCTCTTTTCACTGAGCAAACTGGCCACGACTACACAGCCCAAAGCAAACTGATCCCACTTTGAAACTGGCCCTGCTTTAGTAAGGACTGCATCAACCAGACAGCAGCTCAGCTTTACCTTTAGGGAACGCTGGAAAAGCCATGACACTCAAGTCCCTGGCAACAGAAGTCAGGCCTAGTCTTTGTCACTGTTTCACATTTATACCCGTGGTCACTAGTCCCATTCACTAACCCTTGGCAACCAACCAACCAAACAAAAATGCCCATCCTGAGTTCTGAGTCTCCAGAGAAACCCTGAAAAAGGGACAGCTCATTTATCACATCCCACTTCTGGAGCACCAAAGCAGGCATACTCAAGGAGTTACACACAAGAGGCAACATATCAGCAACTTTCCATTTAGGTTGTTTCAAAACTGCAACAAGTATCACCTCCTGCCTTCTACTTCATCCTTCCCAATGGTTTGTTCTCATACCCTCTCCCACAGACACTTCACTTTGGAAAACTCCTCGACATGTTCACTCTTTAAAAAAAAAAATGGAAAGCCTCTTGCAAAAGAATCTCCTTAAACTCCTTCTTGGTGAAGCAAGGCTTAGAGAATTTGTTTCACTCTTCCACTGACTTTATCTTCCTTGGGCACTCCTTCTACACATGGATAACTTATCAGCAAGTTTCCTGGGTTTGATGAGCTTCAAAGAGTATATTCTAATTGTTCTCATGCCTTTAGTAGCATGACTCTTTGGCTTACTTAATTGTGTTTGACACATTTTTAATGTTCTTCTCCACCTTTCCCATTTGAAGACAAAACCTTAACATTTGAAAGATGTCTTTTTAGTTGTACTGAGCTGCTTTACTTTGCTTGTCAGCCTGCTCAGCTTTTTGGTATTTTTGACAGGTGACATACAATTGCTTTGAGCCTTTACTATTAGTGTCTTTGCAGAATTACATGAGACTTGCAACTGTTTTACACTTTTGGCTGCCTCTCACCATTTGATTAATTTCTTTCCTCGCTATAAGAAGAACTACTTTGGAAGAGTAAACACTGCCACAACAACTCTTGCCTTTGCAGCTCCTGAAACAACATTGAGTTTAAAGACATTATGATCAGTGTCATGTCAGAAGTGGCGGGATTTTTAATGAAAAATTCTGAACTTAATTCTTGCTGGGCAGTACCTTGTCCAGAGTTGTTTGCCCCAGTGTATCTGTACAAGCTATACCCAGAAAGTAGGGGTTTTTGGCACCTGGGCAAATGTCATGTTGGATCATGACATAATCTACATGGGGGCAACTGAGGCCTCTCATAAACAATCATATTTCCTACTCTTGGAGTTTCTCTACACTCCCTTAATATAGACAGTTATTGTCAACATCTAGGTTGGGCAGTCAGTCACATAGCCCCAGTCTCTCTACTCTTCCTACACAGGCCTAGAACATCAAGACATGGGACCCTATGTTACTTCCCCAAACAGCTATTTCCTCTTTAACAAAAAGTTTCCCACATCATGCACATGCAAGCTACTCAGTCCTCTATATGCATCCACAAAGTTTTTGATATTCCAAGTATTCTATCATGAAGATGTTTTAACACCATGAAGATGATGCACCACTTCAAGAGAGAGAGTCATGGCAAACTTTATAATCCTTATCCATCAGCCTTTCCCCACCGTTTGGTTTTCAAACATATATTAATATAGATACAGTATATATAAGCACATGCTTTCATTGAAGGCATACATAGCCTGGCTGCAAATTTATTTACATAAAACCTATTCTTCTAATGTAAACTCTATTTACTAAAAAAAAAAATAAAATAAAATTATTATTTTCTCTTGAATCTTAGCAACATTTTTTTTCATCATTTTCTCAACTCTGTATTAAAACTGCCCCTAACTCCACTTGGTCCCATACATTAAAGACCTTTTCTCAATGGAGAAAGGGGTCTTTAACCCCTGCTTCCTAACAGCCTGCATGTTACTTCTCATACCTCTTGGCTACCCATTTCCACACAGCATGGCCTGTGATGAACAGCTCTTCTCTAGAGACTGACTTGACATCTCCTAAAATCTGTCACTTCTGTCATCAGCAAGTAACTGGGTAGCAGTGTTAATATATGTGCCAAACAATAATAGTGACTGACTGTTCTACCTGCATCTGCCAAGCTGCTGGGACCCCCAGCCTCAGGGAGATAACACAGGGCTCAGCAGGCTGACACCCTGCTGTGCCTGAAGCTCACTGAAGAGCTGCAGTGTGGCACATGATGTGATACTGTGCCTAAGGAGCTGGAGCTCTCACAACATTCATAATGTTTTCCCAGCAAAAAGGGGCACATGAAGTAATTCCCTGGCAGCATGTTACAAGCAGGGGCCTAAGAAGGACACTGATGCATCTGAAGGGGCTGGGGGCAAAGAAAGACAGCAATTCAGATCGAGACCATCTGCCTCACACATCAGTTCTGCTACTTTTGTGTGACTGTCTCTGTGTTACGGTGAATTTAAATGTTGCTGCTCCACTCAACTCTCTTTTTATAGTACTAACAGGCATTCTGCAAAGATTGTTAAGACTTAAATAAAATAACTGTAAACTTAAACATGTTGTATTTCATCTCCAGAAACCTATATTTTCATTTAGAACTGCTGATACCTTCAAGAGAATGCTGTCTGCAAGACCTTAGCACGGTAAGGCTGGTTATAAATTACAACTGTACACTTACCGGAAGGAAAGTTCTGCACTCCGGAATTCCTTTATCTGAGCTCTGTGTCTAACGAATTACGGTTAAGACACAGACTCTGCTGCTTAGGAGCTCACACTAATCAAAACAAGAGTCAAAGGCCTAAGCACCTCTGGGAATCTGGACCGAGGGATCCAACCCTTCAGCTACTTGCAAATTCGATCCCAGCCATCGCAAGACGCTGGAAATTTGACCCTGCGTACTGCGCACAAAGGAAATCCTTGTTCCTAACTTCCCCCTGGGGTTTGACGTCCAGCGCTCGGCTCCCTGCTCAGGACAGAGCCCGCAAGGGGCCGCGCCGCCGTGCCCGCCCGGGAGGCCGCTCCCGCAGGGAGCCGAGCGCCCGCGCCACTTCCTCCTTCCGCCGCTCCCGCGGGGCCCGCCCGCCCGCGGCCCCGCTGCATCGCCCCGCTCCGCGCTGCCGTGCCGTGCCGTGCCGTGCCCCCCGAGGGTGGGATCTGGGCGCCCCCGGCTCCCTCCCGGCGCGGCGGGCGGCGGCGCTGGGGCGGGGGGCGGCGGCCCCGCCCCGCCGCTTGTGTAACGGGCCCTCGGCGAGACGGGCCGGGCCCCGCCCCTCCCCGCCCCCGGCCCGCGGGGGCAGCGCCCCCCCCGCGCCGACCCCCGCCCGCGCCCCTCCGCCCGCGCCGCCGCCGCTCCCCGTCCCTCATCGGAGCCACCGCAGCCGCCAGCCCCGCAACAAGTGCGGGGGCCCCCGACCCGGCCCGGCCCGGCCCGCGGCCCTCCCGACCCAACGCCCCCGCCTTTGTCTGTGCGCCCGAGCTCCCTCCCCACCCGGGAAGCGGCGGGTACCCCCGTCCGCTCCATCTCCGCCGCGGCCGCGTCTTCCCTTCCCCCCCGGCCCCTTCTCAAACGTAGCCGCGGAATCGGGCTCGGCCCCGGTCGCTGTAGCCCGACCTTTTGTTTTTAAAACCGATGCGTATCTGCCCGGGAGCCCCCGCTGCCCCGCACACGGAAACGGCAGCAATGCGGAAAAAATAAAATGAAAATTAAACACGAAGAAAATAATAATTATGAAAAAAAATATAGCAAATAATTCAAAATTACCTTGCCGGCCCGTTTTCGCGGCCCTTATATAATTCCTCAAGGTTACCGCCGTTGCCAGGGGACGCGAAATGGAAATGAAAACAGGCGCTGAATAATCGCGGGAGCAAAACTAAAAGTTCAGTGCCTCCGCCCGGGCGGAGAGAGGGCCAGATCGAAAGCAAAACAAGGAGAGGAAGCGGCGAGGCCGCCGCCGCTTGGAAATCCCCCCGCCTCTCCGCCGGGCCGGGCCGGCCGCGCAGGCGGCGGGGGCAGGGCTGCGGCGGCGGGCGCGGAAGCGCTGCGCCCGTCACCGCCGCGCCGGGGCACGGCACAGCACGGCACGGCACAGCGCCGGGGCACGGCACGGCACGGCACGGCACAGCGCCGGGGCACGGCACGGCACGGCACAGCGCCGGGGCACGGCACGGCACAGCACGGCACGGCACAGCGCCGGGGCACGGCACAGCGCGGGGCTCCGCCGCCGACCCCCGCCCGGCAGCGGCGCCCGCTGATCCCCGGCCTCCCGCAACACGCGCTGGGCCCGCAGGACTGCACCGAGAGCTGGAGCCAGCCCCGGGGAGCGAGGGGCGAGGGAGCACTGTTCTGGGACAAACCCAGCGCTCAAAGCAGGTTTTGCCGGAGACCAGAGAAATCCCTGCTGCTCAGCTCCACCAGCACGGACTGAATCGCTTCTTGCGTCTCTAGCCCCGCTGCTGAGGTGGGAGTCTTGGTTTCGGTCCGCTACACGCGCATGCTAGAGCTGTCGTTGCCTTTGGAAAAGTACAACGTCGTAGTTTCACAAGGAGGACAATTACAGATGAGATCCTTTGAACCCAGAGAGGCTCAAGCGGCTGGCTCACTTCAAGAGACGGCTCTTGGATTTCAACAGATTTTACAAACTGCCGGTAGCTGTGGAGTCAATGTAGAGACCAAAGCTTTCTACAGGATTTTGATAATCCCGATTCAAACTACAGTAAATAAAATCCATTGAGGTTGCAATGTGCCATTCCTAGCCCTAGCCATAAATGATAAAGGAAAAGAGCACTTGGAGACTGGAGGAGATATGAAATGTAGTAATTTCAAAAGGCTGTATATGGAGACAGACAGGTGTATATATCTCCCTCACACACATATCTGTCTGTATCTGTGCTGTATGCACACACATACAAGGTGTTCAGGTAGGCAAGCAGTGCAGCTCCCTGTGCAGATACATGATGCATGGCCGGCAGCGGTGGGAGAAGTTCTGGGACACCGGGGTTGTTCAGGCAGTGGCACAGGGGAGTGGTTAAGGAGCTGTGTGCTGTCCAGCTGTACAGCAAATGGAGGGGGAGCTGTTCTTCAGGTGCTGTGTGCTCTGAGGATCCTTTGTGGCAGCATCCCTGGATGTGCAGAGGATACTGAGCTAGCAAGGGTGTCCACCCTTGTGGGTGATGCGACCTCCGGTTGTGAAAAGGCTTTCCTTGCACTGAGAACATTATCACAAAATAAATTAGGTTGGCAGAGACCATGGATGTCAGTAATCTACCACCTCCCAAAAAAACACTGCGGCCTAGAAGGTGTCTGTGGTCCACATGTGCACCCCTGAAGTAGGAAAGGTCAAGGAAGAGGTTTGGGAAGCAAGATATAGGGTGCCAACTAGGACAGTAAAATCAAGCATCTCCTTCTAAGCTTCTATAGAAACATTCCCAGCAGTAAGGAGAGGTCTACATTCATATGGAGGGACGCAGGTTCCCAGAGCAGCTGCACAAGAGAAGCAAGGAAGGTCCTACTCACATGGCTAATATTCCTAGATACTTCCAGAAAAGACTGATTTCCATGAAGCCACAGAGGAATGAGAATGAGGTTTATGGGACACCTGGTTCAAACTGGCATTTTGACTGAATATATGTGCAGGGAAGGAAAATATTCAGCAAGACATGGTAATGACAGACCACAGCTTATGTAGGAGGGTCAGACTAGGCTGTGGCTATAGGGAAAGGGGCTATGAACTACATGACAAAAGAAGCAGCAAAATCAGCAAACTTCATTAACTAAAGCCAAATTTTCACAGACTTAAGGTCTAACTAGGATAATGGTAGGGTATTAGTGCCCTCTGACCAGGCTGGAGAGGGTTAATATGGCCGGGTTGGATTAGAGAGAAATAAACTGATTGAAAGTGAGAAATTTCTAACCAATTTGTTCCCACTCAGAAATAAGATCTAACAGTTGGATAAGAAATAAGAAATAACGAATGGAAATGAAACTTAGAAATAAGATCTAACATATGGAAGAACTGGTTCAGAACTCCAAAACTATCCCAAAGCTGGTTGGAGATGGTAGGGTGAAACGCAAAGAACAGAATGGGGAGGGCTGCAACATGCCTCCTGAGGATCACTCTGGCCATGTGTGACAGAAACAGCAAAGATCCAGAGAAAAGCAACAAACATAATGAAAAATACGGAGCCACCCTAATGTTAGAGTGATTCAAGGATTTAAGTGACCAAGATTATACAGGATGGAGAAGTGATAAACAACAGAAAACAGTCAGACCAGAGAAAATAACGAGCAGAGAGGAGTAGGTGTGGATTATTTGCTTTCTTTTCTAATGTAAGAACTAGAGAGCATCAAGTGAAACTAGCAGGTGGCCAATTTAAAACAAACAGATGGAGGTGGATCTTCATGCAGCAGGTAATTAAACAGTAGGACATCTTCCTTTGAGGTGCCAGTAGTTCACAAAAAAACACCTGTACACATTCACAGAAGAAAAAAACTCCACGAGTTCTATTAAATGTAAAAAGACCAACTCTGCCTCAAATAGCCCCCAAAGCCACAAATTTCTAGGGACTAGAACCTCTTTGGTACCCTTCAAAAAGTCCTGAATAGAAATGCCTGCAAATGGCTCAGGGCAGGAATGCTACTCCAACACCTCCCTCCAAGCAAAGAGCAGAGTGACTTGGGCTGGCTTTTGCAGTACTCAGTAGCTGTTATTTTTTCTAGTATGTGCTTTGAATTTGTTTGCAGAATAAGCCAGCTGTGAAAAATACTGTAGTTTATGTATCAGTAAATATTGGGTAGAAAAAATACCATCATTTTAATAATTTAATGTCTCATTCAGAGGACACTATTCACTAAGTGCCATTGCTGTGAGTTACATTAATTAGTTTTGGTTAAGGGAAACAGTGAGCTTCCCTGGGAAATGCTAGCCAAGCCATCGGGCAGAACTTGCAGCTCGCTCTTGCCATTTCCTCCTACTACCTTCACCTGATCTCAGTGGAGCACCTTCAAGGATTGTGACGCATTCTGTGCATTGACAAAGGCCTTTCCTGACACATCTCCTAGCACCACAAAATCAGAAGTTATACCAGAAGTTAAATCTTCTGTTGTGATTCCTTTTTTTTAATGCTGAAAGGGAATGGGAATGGGAGCTTTAATTTTTTAAACTTAACTTTCATCAGTGACTCATTCCCTCCAAAAAGAGACTTTAACTCTTGTGATTTTGCTGTTTCAGGGAGATATGGCAGCTTTAAAATCAGAGAGTTTAACCCAGAAGTGTCACTTATCCACAGCCTTTCCTCAGCAGAACTGCCAAATTTTGCAACTTATTCTTTTAACCATCTTCTTTATGGATCTGGCTACTGGAATTAGTTGTTTCCACTAGCATCTTGCCTTTCCTTCACAAATGAGTCTGTTTTCTAGTCTGGAGTTCATTTCTGTGAGAAAAAACCTTCAAACTGGGAATCCCTTAAGTTCCGGAAGGTAAATAAATGTGCAATATGCCAGCCATTTTGGTGTGTGTTTTGGTTGGTTGGTTTTGTTTTGTTTTATTATTTTGTTTTGTAAGTTTAATAATATTTTTGAAAAGCTAAATAACATTTATGACATCTTCCCTTTTTGCTGCTTTTATTTTTCGTTTTACCCTGTCTTTATGTGGAGCTGATTATACCATCATTTTGGTTCTTAAAATCACTGTCACAGGCATTGGGACTATTCATATGTAGAATTGGAGAAGGTGAATTTTCTCATGGAGCTGAGACTCAAGTTTACATACTTACCTACAGGGGATCTGTTTATTTTTCTGATACATTAAAATAAGAAAGCTAATTTTTGTTACAAGCCAGTATTAAGAAAAGAAATAAATTGCTAGAGTCTTATAGTTTTTACTTTAATAGTATTACCCACATCTTCCTGAGTGCCTACACCCATTTTTAAACATGATGCACAGTTAAATTTATTTTCAGTTTTAATTTGTTCTGTGGAAAACATTCTGATGGTGATGTAATCTTTTGCACAGATATTTTTAGATACTAGATAGTAAT